TAGATGACCATCCCTTTACCTTGAGTCTATAGTTGTCCTTTAAGGTAAGATGGGATTCTTGTATACAGCAGATATCTGGCCTGAGTTTTTGTATCCAATCAGCCAGTCTGTGCCTTTAGAGGGCAATTTAAACCATTCACATTGATTGAGAATACTGATAAGCCTGGTATAATTTTAGGTTTTGAAATTTTCAAAAGTCCAGTTGACATCTTTAATCCTTTCACCATTGTGGAAGTTGGAATTTGATCAAAATTTTCTGTGTGAGTTTACTTATGTGATGGAGGATTGCACTGGTCATTATGGAGGATAAGTCTGAAAATATCCTGGAGGGCTGGTTTAGTTATGGCAAATTTCTTCAACATGTGAATGTCATTAAAGTAAATGAAACTAAGTTTAGCTGGATACAGGATCCTGGGTTGAAAGTTATTTTGTTTTAGGAGATTAAAAGTTAATGACCACCCTCTTCTAGCTTGAAAGGTTTCAGCAGAGAGATCTGCAGTCATTCTAATATTCTTCCCCTTGTAGGTTATGGTTTTGTTACGTCTAGCTGCTTTCAGAATTTTCTCTTTCGTATTAACATTAGTGAAGTTAATTATGATGTGCCTGGGGAACATCTTGTTCAGGTTGAGTCATGCTGGGTTTCTTAAACTGTCTGCTATCTGAATTTCAGAATCTCTTGACATGTCTGGAAAGTTCTCTTTCATAATTTCATGAAGAAGAGCCTCTATGCTTTGTGAAGCAACTTTGTCGCCTTCTGGGATTCCTATAAGATGAATATTAATTTTCTTTTAATTATCCCAGGCCTCTCTGAGAGAGTGATCCATTTTTTCTCTCCATTTCTCTTCCCCTTGAGCACTTGGGCACGTTCAGAAGTTTTGTCTTCAATGTCAGAGATCCTTTCTTCTGCCTGCTCCATTCTTTTACCGAGGGATTATACCATATTTTTCAGATCTTTGAGGACTGCAACCTCTTGCCTCAGTGTTTCAAAATCTTTGGTCATTTTATCTTTGAAATCATTGAATTCTTAAGACAGCTTTGGAATAATTTGAAATTCTAATTCCCTCCTTTCCTCCATTCTGTTAATCTTATTTGCTATCCAGATTCTGAACTCAATTTCTGTCATTTCAGCCATCTATTTATGGATGGGATATTCAATTGCATCTGCCCCATCCTTCCTTGGGGGAGTTGATCTACTCTGGTTATTCAGGTTACCAGAGTTTTTCCACTGATTCTGCCCCTTGCTGAATTTGCACCGTTTGGAGACTGTCCCAAAACCATTCAGCCAATGGCTGCCACTGGAAAAGATGCCCACTTCCTCTAGTTGCCTGGAGACATAGGGTGTGTCTGTCTGGAAAAGCCTCAGGGTATGAGTCTTATTGTTCTAGCTGCTGCAGCTGCTGCTCTTCACCTCAGGGTACTGCCACTGCAGTGTGGTTCCCTCTCAACTGACCATCCTCTCACTGTTCTCAGGCCACAGGGCCTGGGGTGCTGGGAATGCGCTGGTAGATCAGTGCCCGGGGCAGCGGAACGCCAGCATCCTCATGGGGAATGGGCGGCCCCTTTTTCATTTCTTTGCTTATTAGGGTCCTTTATTTTTTGTTTTTGTTTACTCTAACAAGAGGTCTCTTCATTTTGTTTATCTTTTCAAAGATCCAACTTTCTGTTTCATTATTCTCTATAATTCTTCTGCTATCACTTCATTTAGTTTTGCTCTGTCCTTATTTATTTTTTTCTCTTCTGCTAGGTTTGGTATAAGTTTTCTCTTCCTTTTCTAATTCCCTGAGTTGATTTATTTGTTAATTTGCAATTTTCTGTCTTTTTAATGTGGGGACGTAAAATCATAAATGTTCCTCTCGGGACTGTTTTTGCTGATTCCACAGATTTGCTTCTCTTCGGTTCACATAAATTTTCGCCTTTACTTCTACTTTTTTTTATTTGGTTGAAAATTGTTTTGTGGTCTAAGATGTGGTCAATCTTGGAAAAAATTCTTTGTACTGGTGAGAAGAACATTTACTAGTTTGGGGATAGAATGTTTCGTAAATATCTATTAGGCCCATTTGCTCTTGAGTCCCACTTAAGTACTATGTTTCATTATTTTCTGCTTGGAATATGTGTCCAACTCTGTCACTGGTATGTTAAAGTCCCTGGCTGTTACCATGCTACTGTTTATCACTTTGATTAGATATAGCAGGGTTTGCTTCATAAATCCAGGTATGTCTTTGTTGGGTGCATAAATATTTAGGATTGTTATATCTTCTCATTGAATTCTTCCCTTTACCATTATATAATGACCATCTTTGTCTTCCTTTACTTTTGTTGCTTTGACATCTATAAGAGCTAGGCTGACAGCATAGCACTCTGCCTTGTACAACAGAGTGAAACTCTGTTTTTTTGTTTTTTTGTTTTTTAAAGTTGGGCTCAGCACCCATAGCTCAGCAGTTAGGGTGCTGGCCACATAAAACAGGGTTGGTGGGTTCTAACCTGGCCCCAGCCTACTAAACAAACAAATTTAAAAAAAAAATAGCCGGGCATTATGGTAGGCACCTATAGTCCCAGCTACTTGGGAGGCTGAGGCAAGAGAATCAATTGAGTCCAAGAGTTTGAGGTTGCTGTTAGCTGTGACACCACAGCACTCTACTGAGGGCAACATAGTGAGACTCTGTCTCAAAGAAAAATAAAAAGGTTTATCAGAAGGGAAACAATTGCATCATAATTTTTAGGTCATAAGTTTAAAACTTGCCTTAAGGAAGTTTTACAATTTTACACATCAATATTTGAAATTAGCTGTTTTTAATTTTTTTATAAAAAATCACTTTTAAAGAAAACAAAAGACATATGGAATAATTTATAACATTCAATAAGAAATGCAAACAGGAAATCTGGCCCTTTTTAAATCATGGAACAACTATCTAGATAATGTTAAAATGGAGATTTATTAGTAACTTTAACATTATCAGGGATTAGGGAATCTTCCCCTATCACCATTAGGGGATATCAGGATATCATTAGGGGATATCTGTCTATATCAGACAGATAATATAAGGGTACAGTCAAACTGATACTAGAGATTTATTGAAAAATATACTGTAGTGTATCCACAGAGCACAGCAATGGTCCTGAAGACTGAATATTGGGACCAATTATTCCTTCATCAATATGTCTTCAACACCTGACATGTGTCAGACATTCTAGGTGCTAAGGATAGGATCCTGAATAAGAAATACAAGATATAAGTAAATTCTAGAGTGAAATTCAAAATAGCAAATAGAGGAAAAAATTATTTCAGAAAATGATTGAGTATTACAAAGAAAAAAGATAGTATAATGTGTTAGAGTGAACTGAAATGGTGGAAGAAGTCCACTTCATATGTGATTATTAAGGATGTACTCTCCATGGAGGTAGTTTTTGAGCTGAGATTATGAATGTTGAGAAGTCAGTCATTTGAACAAATAAATTTGTTCAAATCAGATGGAATAGTAAATACGGAGTCTAAACCTAGAACTAGAAGTCTGAGAAGTAGTGGACATCCCAGCAGGTGATTAAGATACACCCATGTGTTAGTAAAGGCAGAAATTAAGAGCAGTGGCCACAAGGAATATCTGACTGCAAGTATCCTGACCTCTTGCTCCAAACAAAGGAGCTCCAGTCATGAAAAAGTGACTATCAGGGCCCAGGTCTGTAGGAGGACTGTAAGTCAATGCAGAATGTTAAAATGGGAACTTGGGTCAGAAGCAAAGCAGGGTTACACCTGAAAACAAGAGACATACAAGAGGAGAGGTCTGGAGTTAAAGTCCAGGCTCCTATTATCATGATACTAAAGGGGATACTTCAACACAGAGACAGTATGTCTTGAATAAGTTTAATTGTAATAGTTCTCAACATTAATGTATCACCTAAAATATTGATTGACTACATCCTTATTAGTTTCATGCTTATTAATCCCAGGCTGGATGCCACTAGAGCTGAATCTCAGCCAAATGTTAGAAGATTATTAAATCTGCCAGGGTAGCTATAAATAAAGGAGAGTTAACACAATCACTCACCAACATGTACTTTACCAGGGAGCGATTCCAGAGAATAGATTTGGAGGAGAACACATAGACCACCAAAGAGAGGGTTCCAGCCTTCTTTTTTTAACTAATAATTTAGTTATAACATTGCTGGTATTCCTTTAAATCTTGCTTTAAAATTACATCCTTCATTTTAATTATAGGAGGTCCATTCTTTGCTAAATTATGCTAATGTTTTGTTCTTATAAAATGGCATGTTTTTAACATATTTGCTAAAAGCAGCTTATGAAATTTTATCAATAATAAATACAGTTGTTTGGATCAAGACTACAATCCAGATACCACATGCTGGGACAAAGTCTTGTGAGATATCATTTATTAAGTAATTTAAAAAGCACCACTATATTCTAAGCACAATGCTAGATGTTGTAAGTATACAGGAGACTTAAACACAGTTTGTAACCTTTAGATATCATAGTCTACTGGGTGTGGCAAACAATTGCGGATTCATGGTATCAGCATTTGAAAAAGTGTGCTCACCAACTTAGTCCAAATCATAATCACCTGGATTATTGAAAAAATGTCCTTACCAGTTTTCCCAATACCATGATATAGATAGAACATATCCCCCATGTTCAACTTTAAGTACTTCCACATCCCCACTCTACAAATTAAATGGGAGATTCACTCAGAATGTAAAGACTGAGAATTGTACAGAAAGTGGTAAATACTTCTTTAATAAACGAGTAATTAAGGGATTTTAATGGGACAGAGTCAGAATGGAGAAGATAACAGATGCTTAATAGTGGGTTCAGCACATACTTATAGATGGAGAAGTGAGGATAAATATTGTGATAGTAGTTCAGAAAGATTTAATTTTGAGATGAGGGTAGCAACAAGGATGTCATATTGTGTCCCTGTGGCATTCAGATGAATCCATCAATAAAATATGCCCAGATTTCTTTAATCCTGATCTTTAACTCAAATCTCTCAGCTCTGGTACTTGAGTAGCTTCATAATCCCCTGCTTGATTTCCTGAGTGCGTACCCCATACACGATGGGGTTAAGTGCTGGTGGGATGAGGTGGTGTAGGACATTGAGAAGAATAGGTACCTCAGAGGGCACACTTTTTCCTGCTTTGTTTGTGAAGATGAAGACTAGCAGCAGTGTATAGAAGAAAAGTATAAGGATCAGATGGGAACCACAAGTACTCAAAGCCTTGGTAGCAGCACCCCCTGACTGAAGGTGCATAACAGCCCTCAAGATGAAGCAATAAGATAGCAAAATTAGCACCAGGTCAGAACCTAGTAGACACCAAACACTCACAAATTGGTAGAGCTTATTTAGGCGAATATCTCCACAAGAAAGCTTTGCTACAGAAATGTTGGCACAGATACAATTCTCCACCACATTGCCAGCACAGTAGTTGAGCCTAGCAGCTAGAACTGGAGTGGGCAGTGTAGCCAACAGATTACGGAAGATGATGAACATGGCTGCATTAATGACAAACTGTTCAGTGATGATGGATGGGTAACGCAGTGGGTGGCAGATGGCCACATAGCGGTCATAGGCCATGACCAGAAAGGTGGAGGATTCCATGGGAAGGAAGGTATTCATGATGAACATCTGTAGGAAGCAGCCTGCAAAACTGATGGGCTTCATGTTGAACCAGAAGATGAGCAGGACCTGCCAGAATCATTGTTATCAAGAACTCTTTACATCCTTTCTCATTCCAGAGTACCCAACCTGTAGGAAAACCTTTGGATAGGTTCAACCATCCCTTTCCCCAAACTACAGACCCATAATGCCAGATGAGAGCATATCCTCATTTCAAATACCTTCTTTGTGCCTTCTCATTAACTTATACCATTTCCCTCCATCTGAAGAACCTTTAATTTTTTAAATGTTTATTTATAGCCCTGTCCTCTCCTAGGCTCCACAATTCTTACTCACACTGTAGTGAGTGCATCTGCCCAATATAGAATATATGTATCACAGGAACATCAAAACTGGTAAGTCCAATACTTACATTTGGACACTCTCTAATTTTTTTATACACGTAAGAAACCTTTTCAGACTATGCTTCCTATCTCAGTAGATGATATAAACATAAATCCAATTACATTTTAGAAAGTAAATACCAAAGCCTTTAAGTATAAGAATGATACAATTCAGGGTCAAAGAGAATCTCCCTAAAGGTAAAAAGGCTGGAACTTGGAATATCACTAACTCAGACATTAAGAGAGGGCCTATCAGTTTGGAAATAATGAAAACTTAAAAAGACATGTGCATTGAGAATGAGGGGGCATATCTGGGAGCTGCAGTGGACCTGCTGTGCTGGTTTGGATGACTCATTAAGCATTTTCCTTCAGGAAGGGGAGGATCTACAGTAGCAAAACACGGTACTGTTTAGAGAAAGATGGCTGAGTGCCTGAAAGAAATTTCAGGGTGAATCTGACCTTGGGGATGACTGTGAGGCAGAGGATGACATCCAGAACAGAGAGGATGGCAAGCAGGTAATACATGGGCTCATGCAGAGATGCCTCCTGCCGGATGGCCAGTAGCAGCACAAAGTTGGCCCCAATGGCCAAAACCAAGAGAGGAGCCAGGACAATAGACAGCCAGTGTTGTGTATCCTGCATTCCTGGGAAGCAGATCATCAGGAATTCAGTCACCTGGGACCCTGTGTTGTTGGGGGATAATACCATGACTGGCAGGTGGGACTAAAAATGGCTGAAAGGAAAGAGGCAAAAATTTGTGATTTGACACATTCATTAATAACCTGCTAACTACTCTATCTACCTCCACTGTAGGTTGTCAGGTTTATCCACCAGCCACTGAGATAATACTCTGTTTAAAATTTAAACTGGACCACATCACTCCCTGTTAAAAAATAATTTCCTTGGCACTCATAACTTTATGAATAAAGAATAACACTCCACAGGAGTATATTCCAAGTCTAGACAGATTCCACAGTTCCCACACACACCAAAAGGACATCCTTTGCTTTGTCTCAGCTCTGTCTTTTTACCTACATCATACCTTCTAGAATCTTCTCTCTTTCTCTCAAACAACTAACTTATTATTATCACATTCCATCCATACCAAGAGTTACATTTCTTAAAAATGTTCTTCTTATTCATTTTAGACCCCTTTCCTTTCCATTGCTCCTCTACAATCCTTAAATACCTCTTAATCCTATTGAAGCATTAATAACATTTTCTTATATTCATCAATGTTTCCTATTTGTATTTTTAAAAATCTGTGCTCCCTCCACCAGGGATGGAATCTTATCTTTTTATTATAGCACAGAAGAAAACACAAGGCACCTGGTGACACGCAGGCAGTCAATAAGTGCATTTCAGATATATGAGATGGGTGGATTATTGAAAGTACCACAATGCCCCCAATGACTTCTCTCTGTGATTTAGCATCTCTGTATCTTGCTGTGCTAAAACCCACCAGCACTCTTACTTAACACTCAGAGTGTGAAAAAAAAAAAAGGAAAAAACTATTTAGTGATGAGAAAAGAAATACAAAGCAACTTACTAATGAGAAAAATAGATATCCAAGATACTTGTATAGTAGCTGTTTTGAGTAGTTAATAAGCAACTACCATGGGAGAAATAACTGCCTTCCCTAGGAAAGGGAGAAAAAAATAAGGAAATGAGGCTTCTAAGACAAGGAAAGAATTGAAGAAATACTTAAATATGCTCACAGAAGGTGACACTAGTTCTCTTGGAGTATCTTCTTAATTATCTAGGAACTCGCTGGTGAAAACGTTTTCAGGTTCTGGTGGGTTCTCCCCTGAAGGAAAGAAAACATCATCTCATGTAGTTGGATTTCTGGGCTTGTGGTTGAGGCACCCCTGGAATGATACAGATAGATTCAGAAAAGCTCTCAGTCAAGTTTTGGTTCATTTTTTTCCTCATGCATATAGTGTGAGCTTCTCGTCAGCATGTTCCTTATAGGTAGATCAGTAGTTCTCAGGTGTGACTTGTGCTGCAGAATCACCTGGAGAGCTTGTTAAGACAGAGTCCTGAGCACAGCCAAATTGTGTGGGTTTGGGATGATTTGCCTTTCTAACAAATCCCAGGTCATGCTAATACTGCTTTCTCAGAAGCAGCACTTTGAGAGTGACAGAGATAAACTCAGTTGTGATAACTGACCTAACTACTGATTTAGACTAGCCCTGATCTAAGGCTGCTATCTCAGGTCGGCCAGGCCTCCTGCGCTGCTACTCAGCTTCAAACATCAAATTGAACATTTCTCCCATTATTTTCAGTTATTTAAGCATATCTCTGGACAATTTCTGGGGCCTCCCAATGTGAAAGCTATCTTCCTCCCATGGACTCTAGAAATTCTATAGATTCTTTTTTCATGGTTTTGTTTCTCTTCCTGGGCCTATTGTTCCTGGCTAACTCTCACAAGAGGATAAAGCTCATTAAAATCAGGAGGGGGATGGGAGGGGGGAATGTTAGATCAAGGGAGGGTGAATGGTGGAATCACACTTAAGGTGCATAATGCAAGGGTACTTGTCAGATTTATTAAGTATAGAGTATAAATGTCTTAACACAATAATTAAGTAAACAAGATGAGGTTTATATTAACCAGTGTGGTATAAATGCTCCTAATTCTATATGAAATCAGCACATTGTACCCCATACATGCATTAATATATACATGATCTATGTGTTTATGATTTAATAAAAAACAAATTAAGGGCAAGATATCCTCATTTTTCTTACTGCCAGTTGGCACAAGAACTGAAAGAAGAACACTAAAATTATCGCTCTAATAATCAAAGAAGCAATCCTTCTCCTCAGACAGCTTTCCTGTCAGAAAGAGACCTGAACAGACCTATAGACACCCCTCCACAAGCTCAGGTGATCAGCATTCTGATGTGCTCACGTTCTCCTGACAGTAGTGATCTTCAGAGTTATCTCGTACTAACATCTAGAAAGTGCAATAACATTCTCTGAAATCAACAATAAATTAAGTCAAAGAACAAACTCAAGATAACCCTTGTGCTGGGCTTTCCAGTGTATTGTTATCAAAAATACTTACAAAGAAAGTCTACTCCAAATACCAGTTTTGGCCATCCAGTGGCAATGCAATGGCAATGTGTGACTCCTCAACTTCTCCCTAGCCCTGGTTTTAGGCCCTGGATGACTTTATGAAAATGCTATCTCTATAAGAGCTATTCTCCTGTGGCTGGAAAGGTCAAGAGCTGGGATTCCTATTCCCATGGGTTCCTGCCTCCTTGCAGATGCACAAACATTTCCAACGTAAAAGGGAAATTTCTGCATTTAAATTCAGATGAAATCAAGCTATCCTCTCCTTTGGGGTGATTGAGAGTTACATAAACTGAAACGTATTATTTGCGATGGAAAGATCACTGAAAGACACAGTAGCTATATCTAAGAGATCCTTCAAGAAGACAAATGTCATTAGACTTATAAAACTGATTTCATTTTACATATAAGCTGAATTCTTGAAAAACTTTTAAAATTAGTAATTTATGGTGAGTTATCATTAATTTTTACTAAGTTTTAGAAATATCTTCACATAGGGAAAAATATGCCTCTTAAAGGAAAAAATTATACAGAATCCTGAATGCTTATTTAAAGTATATCCATTTAATTAGACTGTAAGTCAATTATGTCAGTTTTTAATTATAGGATTATCACCTAAAGAATAGTAAAAAATGCATAAAAATTTGATTAATCCAAAATAAGATAAAAATTATGAAAAGGGAATGTAAATATGTAAATGATAAAATGGTAGCTTTATAAAAAAATCTATGATTACATGTATATAAATGAGCCAAGGATTCCAAGTAAAAAGCTGAGATTGTCAAATTGTCATATTGTTTATAAAAGGCACACCTTAAGTATGAGCAAGAGAATAGGAAAAGAACTATCATGGAAACACTAACCAGGAGAATTTTAGGTAACTAGGCTAATCTGATCAATGCAAGCATTAACATAAGAAGCACTACAAGAGATCAAGAGGAATATTTTGTAGTGATAAAGCAATCACCACAATGAATTAAAAGACATACTATCATAGCTCACATTAAAATTAAGCAAAAGTGACAGAAACAAAAGGAGAACGAAATGTTCAATCATGGTGAGAGACTTGAACATAATCTCTCCTGAAAAATGATAGAACAAGTTGATAAAATAATAATCCATTCAGATGCAAAAGATCAGGACAACATAATGAGAAACTTAACTCCATTGACATGTATAAAACATAGCACCCAAAAGCAATAGAATTAATATTCTTTTCAAGAGCATATAAAACATCAAAATCAATGAAATGTTAAAATATAAAATGAATTTTAAACAATTAAAATTATTCAGAATATTTTCTGACCACAATGAAATCAAGCTATGAATCAGTAGTAACAATGTCTAGAAAACCCACACTTCATAAACATTGGATAATACACATTAATCTATAGATCAAAGACAACATAAATGAAAATTATAAACTATTTTGAATTGATGATAATACAATGTAAACAACTTTGTAGGATTTAGAAAATGCAATGCATAGGGAAAAAAAGTACAGATGTTTCTGGATTTATAACAGGGTTATGTCCCAATAAACCCATTGTAAATTGAAAACACCATTATGTCAAAAATGCTCTTAATACATCTAACCTAAAGAGCATCATAGCTTAACCTAACCTATTACCTTAAATACTCAGAACACTTACATTAACCTAAAGATAGGCAAAATCATGTAACACATGACCTATTTTATAACTATGTTGAACAGCTCATGCACTTTACTCAATACTGTACTGAAAGTGAAAAACAGAATGATCACATAGTACTCAAATACACTTCTACTGAATGCATATCACTTTTGCACCATTGTGAAGTGGAAAACTTAGAAGCCAATTTTCTAGCCTACTTTACTGTTTGGGGTCCTAACCCATGCTTATTCAGGGAAGAGACTGGTGGTTTAATATAAGTAAAAGTCCTATAGACAAAGATCCAAGTTCTTCTCCTATAGCAGCAGTTCTCAACCTGTGGGTCATGACCCCTTTGGACTGTATTAAAGGTTCGTGGCATTAGGAAGGTTGAGAACCACTGTCCTATAGTCTGATAGCTCCACAAAATACCTGTATGCTATCCCAGAATATTATGGACTGGGGAATATCACCACTACTGCAACTATTCATGTCTCCGTGACTGTCTTCTAGTAAATGCAATTCCAATAACCTGGTAAGAATGCCATATGGTACAACTGGTTTGAGAGCTAAGCATCTGGTAATTCAACTGTGTGCTGAATAAAAGTGAAATGAGAAAGTAGACATCAAACAGTCATTGTAGAGATAAGAAAGTCTGCTACAAATGACAGGAACAGCCAAATCTAAGGCCTGGAATGAGGTGATGGCCAATAATTTGTTGTCCAATTTGTGAGATTTCCCAGTGGTAGAGCTCTCACAAATAGAAACTGTGCATAGAATTCTGTGGCTGTTTTACATGGCCCTGGAGGTAGCTAGCCAAGAGGAGACAGATTATATACTGAAGGAAAAGCTAAAGTACTACCTAGAGGTTGAAGAAGAGGGTAGACTCCATTGTGAGGAAGAAAGAAAATTTACTGAGTAATGGCTACACTAAAAACCCAGACTTCACAACTACAAAATAGATATATATAACAAAACTTGCCCTCGCACTCCCTATATTACAAGTATAAAAATAAAATAAAAATTCAGATATATAGAAGAAATTCCTAATGAAATGACTGTATATATCCTTGCCATAGGGAGGCAAAACAAATAAGTGAATTCTTCACTTTCATAGTATAGATGAAAGGTCATTCTTATGTGATATTAATGCTGGAAAATTGTCTGCTCTTATTAAATGGGAACAAGAAGGGGGGAAGTTTAAAGTGATTTCCACTTTTTTTTCCACCCACCGTGAAGTTGGTAACTTCAAGGAGAGCATAGTGAGCCCACTGAACTGGCATGTAAGATTCCCCAATTAAGGGGACATACATGATGAGATTTCGTGTATTCCTATCCCTGTTTAATGGGGGCGGGGGAAATGCACTGAGATACAGAGACCCTTCTGATCAGTGCCTAAGAGATTGGTCCTCATGTATTTATCCCTTAGTTTGTAGGGTACAGAAGATAGTAAGGGAACGATGAGGACAATGAGGACTGCAAAATTATACTCTGTCCTTATCAGATTATGATTGCTAAAATAGTTATTCCACAAAAGTGACCCTGAGAGAATCATATGAAAAAGATTCCACTGATAACTCAAGGACATTAAAACCCAACTGTGGACTCCCACTGCTCACCGATACAGAAAATATCAAATTGTTATGACATGCCTCATATTTTCTTGAGTCTGGGAGCAAGGAAGTATAGAAAAAGACTGACACAAACAGTGTACCCTGTGCCTGCTTTCCTTGAATAATTAAATGAAGCACTTGCTGACTGATATACACACATCCTGAATAAAACCATTCCTTAGGAACTGCACCAGGGAGGGGTCATGTGTCCACAAGTGTCATTTTCCATGTCAGTGACTATAATCTCAGACTTAAATGGCCTGGGTTCCTGATGAAATCAAGCATGCAAAATAGAAGCCACTCCTTGGGGAAAATGGTGAGACTGATAAGTAAGGGATAACATTTCAGAGTCCTTGCAAGTTGTCCACCCAATGAGACCATGGGACTGCTACAGAATACCATGGAAACTGGCTGCAGAAGAGTCATAAATTCGACCAACACTGGAGGAGTGCTGAGAGAAGGGCTCTCGGTTTGTTATGGCAGTAGAGCATTTAGCTCACTGCTATTCTTTCCCCTCATCTTATTCTCCCTTTTCCCTCCAACTTCTCATCTTTCCACATTGCACAGATGAACCTATGTCCACATATAACAGGGAGAATTGTGAGCCTCTTTGCACCAAGCATTCTTCTGTGTTACTTAGGTAAACCTGCCTAACCATGGTCCTAATCAGCATTGGCCTAAACTAAAAGTACATGAGCACAGACACCTTTAGGAAGGATGTCTGGGCTCTTAATTCTGACATGAAGTATTGGGCTGCTACATCCAGGCCCTGCTGGAGGAGGTGACAGGACTCTCTACATAACTCCAGAATGCAACATGCAACAAGGGACCTGAAAACCTGCTACTGCTCAAGTCTCTGAAATGCCACCAATTAACATGGTTTTAGAAGATTTGATGTATGAACTGATGAACTGACTATTTCCTCTTATTTAATCCACAATAGGATATGTCAGAAGGCCTTGGAACCCTCCTGCTCTCTGATGTTCAGTATCACTTTTACATGCCATGGAATTAATATAATTTTTATAGTCACTGTTTCTAAAGATGATACCATACATTTCCAATTATATTATCTGCTTGTTACTACTGTGGATCAAAACCAGTATCTTTGATGAGTCTAATAACTGAGTAAAATTGAAACTCTATTGTAGGATTTCTGGGCATGATCAGAGAAAAGACTAATAATAGAAGGTGGTAGCCATGGATCCCATGGGTCAAAAATAGAGTCACAAGAAAATGTAACATTTTTTTCAGGAAGTGGAAACTTCTAAACCTCAGAGATTAATGGTCCCATGGGAGACCAGCTGGGAGTGAGAAGCTGGATGCAGTGTAAGTATAAATTTTCATTTGTAGGGATGACAAAGACAATGAAGTCAGATGGGGAGACATTGCTGCAGTCTGAGCCTAAGAAAAGCCAAACAGGTGATGGCTACAACAGGTGATGCTGCTTAAGGCCAGGCTTCGGGATGGAGGCACCAGAAATGAAGGACAGAAGGTCCCCAAAATAGTAACAAATACAAACCAGATACTGCTGAGTAGGGTTGTAGCTTTGAGAAGAGGAGCTTGAGATTTTGTAGCAGAGGTGTAGGTGCGTGTTTTTTGAATATTTTTGGTACGGGTAATATCTCCTACTTTATTTCTTCTTAATTTTCATTTTCCTAAAAGCACACATCAAATGAGGTGCTTTGAAATAACCTACATGTTTTTGTTCCACCCAATATTTTTAGAGTAAAATGTCTATAGACATTCATTTCAAAAGAATGTTTGAGAAGGCACTTAAAAATATAATATATCATTTCTTGGTCTGTACACTTTATTCTAGTTTCACATCGCTGAGAGGTTCAGGAAACCTCCCAGGCAGAGGTACTTTTAACTCCAACTTACCACACCAGCCACATAACAGGAAAGAAGAAGGAAATAAAATATGGGGGGAGAGTTCTATTTTGACCTTTACTCTCTCTCACAAACCTGCTCGCTGATTCCTGAAAGAGATGGTTACTAACTTTCTGCAACCCCCTGTTGGTAGCCTTATTAGAGAAAAGCAATTGTTACTACTTTCATTTTATATTCCACAGGGTCAAAATAAGCTTTTTTCTAGAAAGCAAATCAAAGTGTCAGATCATATTTTAAACATATTTAATGTCATTATTAACTTTAAGCTAAATCATCCCTGTATTTCATTTATTCATTTATTTGCTTAAATGTAATTTTCTTATAGAGGCTGTCCCTGATCACATAATATATACATACACATATATTTATCTGTATACATATATATATACACATATATATATGTGAGTGTTTGTTGAGAGAGAGAGATCATTGATTATTGTCTATCTCAACCTCCTAAATAATAGTATGATGAAATTGGAGACTTAGTCTGATTCATTTGGTGTACTTTAGCAGAATTAAGTTAAGGCCAGGGTTCTCAATGTTTGAATGAATCCTTTTTAAAAACTAACTTATGACCCCCTTCATCATTTCCTGACTACTGTGCCAAATTTATTTAACTTTTTTAATATGATGTTGTTTGAGTTTTTAAAAGGTTTAATAATTTGCTCCTTTTCAGATTCCAAAACAACAGAGGGGAGATGTACACTTCAAATGACACCAAGTTCCGCCCTTCCTCTTTCCTCCTGCTGGGGGTCCCAGGCCTTGAAGAGATGCACACTTGGATCGGGTTTCCTTTTTGCTCTGTGTATCTGATTGCCCTTGTGGGCAATATCACTATCTTGTTTGTGATCAAGACTGAACACAGCCTTCATCAGCCTATGTTCTACTTCTTGGCTATGTTAGCCTCCATTGATCTGGGTCTGTGCACAGCCACTATACCTAAAATGTTGGGCATATTCTGGTTTAATTTAAGAGGGATTAGCTTTGGGGGCTGTCTTACCCAGATGTTTTTCATTCACATGTTCACTGCTATGGAGACTGTTGTGTTGGTGACGATGGCCTTTGATCGCTACACTGCCATCTGCAATCCTCTACGATATAACCTGATTCTCACCAACAGAACTATCGGTTTCATTCTTGCAGTGGTGTTTGGAGTCAATTTCGTTTTGATTATTCCTATGGTGTTTCTCATCTTAAGGCTTCCTTTCTGTGGACACTATATAATCCCCCACACATACTGTGAGCACATGGGAATTGCTCGGCTGGCCTGTGCTAATATAAAAGTAAACATGATATATGGATTAATTCTTATATCAACAGTACTTATTGATGTGCTTCTGATTGCTGTCTCATATGTGAAGATACTCCAAGCTGTCTTCCGCCTTCCTTCTCAGGAAGCCAGACTCAAGGCACTTAACACGTGTGGCTCCCACATCTGTGTCATCCTAGCCTTCTTCACTCCAGCTCTCTTCTCCTTCATGACCCATCGCTTTGGTAGGAAAGTTCCCGTATACATTCACATTCTCCTGGCCAATCTGTATGTTGTAGTTCCACCTGCCCTCAATCCTGTCATTTATGGGGTGAGAACTAAGCAGATTCGGGAACGAGTTTTAAGCATCTTCTTGAAAAAAACCTGACATAAACCTCCCTGGAGATATGCATCTTAATCCAGGGCAAAGGAATTATAGTTCTTCACAATACTTTGTTTACTTATTTTGAGACAGAGTCTCACTATGTCACCCTCAGTAGAGTGCTGTGGTGTCACAGCTCACAGTGACCTCCATCCAGCTCTTGGGCTTAAGCCAGCAGTTCTCAACCTGTGGGTTGCGACTCACAGGAACTGTATTAAAGGACAATGGCTTAGAAAGTTTGAGAACCACTGGTGTAAGCAATTCTCTTGCCTTCCCCTCCCAAGCAGCCAGGACTACAGGTGCCTGCCACAACATCCAGCTATTCTTTTGTTGTAATTGTCATCACTGTTTGGCAGGCCCAGGCTGGGTTTGAACCCACCAGCTCCAGTGTATGTGGCTGGCACCCTAGCTGCTGAGCTACAGGTGCCAAGCCAGGAATTGTAGTTTTTAACTACACAATCTTATAGAGGAAAAAAAAGACTCTGACTTTAGTATTATTGAGTTCATAATTTTCTCAACCAACCAACCCACAGCATATAATGTGATTAATGTCAAAAACATCGTTGTGAATGTGTGGAAGAGGTAAGGTTCTAGACTACTTATTTAAAAGGTTTTATTCTTCCAATTGGGTATAGTGTTCACTATTTTGATGATAAGTACAATAAAATCTCTGACTTCAGCATTATAAAATTCATCCATGTAACTCTAAACTTTGTGCTCCTTAAACATACTGAAATCTTTTAAAAGATCTTATTAAGATTATTTCTCTGCATTTCCTGTTGAACCTCTACAGGTCTGGTAGACAAGATTATGTGGAACATAATGTTCCTTTTCTTTTGCAGATTAGTAACTCTGCAAATTTATATAATTTTATATTTGATATATATGTGCATCAAGGACTATAGGCTTTGAATGCCTTGTGATAGAGTCTCTCATTCTTTTTGTAATTGCTTAATTGTTTTTATTCATAATATTTATCAACATTTTATTTTTTACATTTCTGAATATTATGGGGGTAAGAATGTTTTGGTTACATGAATTACTTTTGTACAGTTGAGTCAAAGTGGTAACTGTGTCCTTCGCCCAAACAGTGTGCCTTGCACCAATTAGATGTGAATTTATCCCTCCTTTTCTCTTCACTCCCACCTGATTTCTTCCTGTTGAGTTTTACTGACAAATGTTCACTTGGGTATTGAAGTAGTTCCAATTTAATAGTGAGTATATGTGGTGTTGGTTTCCATTCTTGCAATTCTTATCCCTTAGAAGCATGGTCTCCAGTTCTGTCCACATTGTTGCAAGAGGTATTAGTTTCCTATGTTTGTATGGTTGAGTAGTATACTCCATGGTGTATTTTTTTACACCACATTTTATTAATCTACTCAAGTATTGATAGTCACTGGGTTGATTCCACATCTTTGCTATTGTGAACTGTGCTGTAATAAACATCTAAGTGCACATGTTTTTTTGATAGCATGAGTATTTTTTTCCTTTGCATAAATACCTAGTACAGTAATTGATGAATCGAATGGTAGGTCTAATTTTAGTTCTCTGAGGTATCTCCATATGACCTTATATCACAAACTGAAGGGAAATATAAAAATTAAAAGATCTATAACCTTTTAAGGATGTTTTTGGATGAATCATTGAGAAAATTTTTCTATAACTCTTTGTGGAATCTTTCTGATCTCATTAGATCTATAGAGCTCTTCCCATAAGTTACTTAATGTTCAAAATGAATCAGTCTTCTTTCTGTAGAAATTCTGTATGAAATTGTAATATCTATGTGAAAATATATATATATATATATATATATATAATTACATATGGGATGCCAAAAATACATATACACATTTAAGTGATCTTGTTGGAAGTAAAATTGATCTTTCTCCAAAAAGATACAAATTGCAGATAAAATGGATGTGAGTAGTGTGTCCAGGGACACTTGACCAGTAATGGTACCTTCAATTCAATTTCAAAAAGTAATAGATAGATCACATCTCTTAAACTGTGTACACATTTTTGCATCCTGTATGTACAGTATGTGGGTGCCAAAAAATGTATACACATTTTAATAAAGGAAAAACCATATTAAATCTGTAATAAATATATACTAATAACATTTTATATTTTTATCTAGTTTATTGTATCTCATATCTCTTGTAATTACAGAATTCAAGTGTGACTTGAGTATTATAATTTTAATACAGCTTTTTTCTTTTTAAAATGTGTATACATTTTTTGACACCCTCTGTAAATATACATATATACATACATATGCATGTGTATGCAAGTCTATGTATAGGGAAAAAAGAAACTGACTGAACTTAAGATGCTCAAGAATGGATATCCCCTAATGGACAAATTCCCATACATGTAAGTTATATTCTCAAAAGTCAAATCTAATGCTCTAATCTAGACACTAATTATTCTCAGTTTCACACACTTTAGATATTCATTCATTCATCATATACCAAACATCTTGTAGTACCTATTCTTTTTTTTTTTTTTTTTTGGCCAGGGCTGGGTTTAAACCCGCCACCTCCAGCATATGGGGCCAGCACCCCACTCCTTTGAGCCAAGGGAATTCCCAATACCTATTCTTTTTCTTTCTCTTTTATTTCAAAATATTAAGGGCTACCAATGCTTCTGTTATATTAATAGGTTTTACAATGCGTTATTCATGACTATAAGCATGCCCATCACCTAAATAGTGTTCATTATACCTGTTAGGTACCCACTTCCCTCTTCCCCACTTCCTAGTTTCCAATGATTTTCCCTTCTTCCTGTGGCCCATAGGTGTGTGCCCATTAATTAGTTACAAATTACTAGAGATTAGCTGTGGTTTTGGTTTTCCATTCTTGGGATATTTCACTTAGGATGATGTTCTCCAGTCCTATCCAAATTACTGTAAAATACATTATTAATTCATTGTCTTACAGCTGAGAAGTACTCCATAAGGGGTGGGCATAGTAGGTATGCATGTATGTGTGTGTATAATATATCACATTCTATTAATCCACTCATAAATTGGTGGATATGGGTTATTCTACATCTTTGAAGTTGTGTATTGTGATGCAGTAAACATTCAAGTACAGGTGACTTTTGATAAAATGATTTATGTTTCTTTGTATAGATACTCAATAGTGGGATTACTGGATCAAATGGCATGTGTATTTTTAGACTTTGAGAAATCTCCATAGTGTTTTCCAATGAGGCTGTATAATTTGCAGTACCACCACCACTGTAGGGTCGAAGGGTTCCTTTCTCTCTGCATCCACACCAGAATAGATTGTTTTTGGAATTGTTAACAAAAGCCATTGTAACAGAGGTAAGATGATATCTCATTGAGATTTTGATTTTCATTTCCATGATTAGTGATGAGCATTTTTTCAAGAAGTTGGGCATTTGTCTATCTTCTTTTGAAAGGCTTCTGTTCACATGTTTTGCCCACTTTATAACAGAATTGTTTGGTTTTTTCTTGATGATTTGTGTGTATTCTTTGTATGTACTCTATATTAGCTATTCATTGGATATATAGCTTACAAATATTTTTTTCCCATTCTGTAGGTTGTCTGCTTGCTCTGTTGATTATTTTCTTTGCTGTACAGAAGCTTTTTAATTTAATCAGGTCCCATTCACATATTTTTGTTCTTGCTGTAATTGCCTTTGGGGGTCTTAGTCATAATTTTTCACCAACGCCAATATCTAGAAGGGTCAATCACTTTGAATTGATGATATGATATTGAATCTAGAAAATCCCAAAGATTCCACCAAGAGACTCCTCGAATTGATAAATAAATTCAGCAAAGTCTCAGGTTACACAAATCAGTAGCATTTCTATACGTGCATATGCCAGTAAAGCCAAGTTACAAGTCAAAGACACAAACCATTCATAATAACTACAAAGAAAATAAAATTCTTAGAAATACACCTAATCAGGCCAGAAAAATATCTCTATAAGGAGAACTACAAACCACTGAGGAAGAAATAGCAAATGACACAAATGAATGGAAAAACAGATCATGCTCATGGATTGACCCAGATCTTTCCTACTTGCACCTCTTCCTGGTTACTTACCTAATGACTCTCAGGTTTTTATGATTTTTGGTAAACAGTATCTATTTACCAACTTTTTATCATTTTTGATAAATAGAATCTATCTTATTAGTGTTTATCAAATTATATCTCATTACTAACATGGAAACACAATATTTGATTATTTTATTCTTTGAAAATCAAGTATAACATATATATGGTAAAGTGAAAGAATCTTACACATATAGCTTGATGGATTTTTAGAAATGTATAAATGATTCAAGTCCTATACTTTAGGATATCTTCCTTGAAATTTTCTATGTTCCTTTCAGTTACTGGGACCAGCCACCTATCCCTAAACTCAGGGTACTCCATTCCTGTATTCTATTTCCAGGCTCTCCCTTTGAGACATTTCCGTACCCTCAGCTGCATTCATGAATTTGAACACACTCCAGTACATGAGCATATGCAGTTGTTCAAGGCCCTTTACATTGTCCTGATTCTAGGTTTGTGGTCTAGAGGGCAGGTTCATGCCACTGTATGGTACAGTATTTATTTTTTAGGATTACTAGAGATTGGGCTTCCAGAACAGTCCTGTGTGCTGATTTGATGTTTATCTTGTAAAGCACCCTACAAAGAATATTTGCCTAGGAACCAACACACCCTATGGACATCCCTGAACCTATGTACCCACCACCCAGACCAAAATATGTGGCACTACCAACAACACAGGACAGGTTTTCATGTCCCCACAAGTCACTAACTCTCAGAGTTCATTATTTTTTCTGATCTTATTACTACAGATCAGCTTATCAATTTTATGTTAATTGCCTCATATTATATGTGTGTTTTAATGGGTTTTTCATTTGAAATTAGACCTATGAGATTCGATCATGTGATTGCTTATACCTGCAGTTTGTTACTTTTTGTTTTTGTATAGTATTCCATTGTATCAATATACTAAATTTAAT